AAAACAATCCTTATATTTAAAATGTTTGTCCGATTATTTCTGAGGCACTGAAAATGGGGACTGTTTTATAAAAATGACTGCAAAATATTTTGTTTGTATTTTGTACGTCACGATTGTTTGATTTAAAATCCACATTGCTGGTGTATTGGGGCAGCACCATGGACTGTTTTAATGCAGATCTCTGCAACAGCACATTTTCACATCTGTTGTTCGCTGAAGAAGTCAGTAAAGCCAGTCTTACCATCTTCTTGTAATAGTTCAGTAGATTTGTCTTTTTAATGTCTGTTATAAAGTATTATGTATTTATTCCCTTTCAGTTGCACAATGTCCATGACTCATTCCTGGCGCTGACCACAGATGGCATTAACTTTATTATGAACAGCCAGGAGATCTGCAATGTCATCAACCAGTGTCACGAACCCAAAGAGGCAGCACAGAGGATATCTGAGCAGGTAAAACATTTGCTTTTGTTGAATATTAGCCCATGGGTCAATGTGTTACCTGTTCTCCTACAAGGTTGTTTGTTGCTGGGTTTCATTAAGTTTTGGTTGACTCATGTACTGAAATGATCTGTTAGACACAAAAAAGCTTCCCAAAACCGTGTCCATGTTTCCTCAAGTCTGGAATTTCCTACAGAAGATTAATTTTTGGTTGAATTGATCATTCATCCGATGACTTTCTCTAACCTTGTTGTGCTTCACATTGCGGTGCTCTGTTTTGTTTTGTTTTTTAAGGCTATTCAGTATGGTTCAGAGGACAACAGCACAATCATCGTGGTGCCGTTTGGTGCCTGGGGAAAGCACAAGAGTTCAGACACGAGTTTCTCTTTCAGCAGAAGCTTCGTGTCCAGTGGTCGCTGGGCATAGGCTGCAGGACATAGGATGAAAGGACGAGGTCTGTTTAAGACTTTGTTAACATGTGCAATACATTTGGCTTCCTGTAAAGAAACATTGTAAAAAGTGTGGTTTGCCGAAATAATGACACCTAATGGCTACAACATTAATTACAGTTGCATGATGTTTATTGCCTCTGAACAAAGAGGCAGTGAATTCATGGGGCTAAATCTCCCTTTATACAAGGTTGTATCTACTAGCAAGCCAATGACCTCATAGGTGCTAAAAGTGTGTGAGCAGCAGACGGGAATGTGTGTTGGCTAAATCTGTAGCCTGCTCTACAGATTTAATTCCTCACCTTCTTCTGCCATTCACACATTGTTTTATCAGTTTAGATTCATCACACCACAATCTCACTCACAATTTCATTTTTATTGTTAACCTACATTTTTAAAGAAAATGTATCCCACCAGTTTTAAGAGCACAGGTTTTAAGTTTGGACCATTTCTCCATTTTAATTTTGGGAGCAAGTGCAACAAAAGGAGTCGGGGTTGGACAATTGAACTACAGTGATTGGTCATCAGCTGCTGTGAAACCCACACCTTGGTTGAAGAACTGGTGTCACTGATAAAGTCACTGACTGGGCCTTAAAAACTTTATGGCAAATTTAAAATATCTAAATTATATAGCTTTCCTATAAGAATTGTTCTTGTACATTTAGTTGCAAACCAACACTTTAAAATTTCCTTTATATTTAAAGAAAAACAAAATTTCTTAAAGAGCCGCAGAAATTATTGGAAGACTTGGACAATCTTAAAAGATGTGAAGGTTTTGAACAGAGCTGCCTGGACAGCATTTTGGTGACTGAACTTGGTATTTATATAGGAATAAAAATGAAATTTTATGTTTCTTTGCCAGGCTTGCTTGATTTGCAACAGGTCCTTTAAAGGGGACTTAAGTGTTTGAGGTACTGAATCATACTGTTTCTGTTCTGTAAATAATCATCTGTGTGATATGTACACCTGGAAAACTGGTCTCACCTATATTTTCTTCATATCTCAGCTACGTTTGGCACATCAGAATATTCTACACATGCAGGTCTTTAGACACGGACCTGTGGTGTGAGTAACCTGGCGTTATTTTTGGTTTTCCACCGTTGTGTGTCAGTCAGACACAACAAAGCACACCTAATGCAACACTAGAGAATTGTTTAGCTAAGAGCCATGTATGACAATGTGAATGTTTGCTTAAACTGAAACAATGTAACCAGTCTCTGTAGGCTATAGGTGTGACTAAGCTGCTCAAGTCGTGTTGGCTGACCTTATGTGAGTGGATGTGTTTTCAGACTTAATCCGTTGAGCTGGTGGTGTGATCTTTTATTTTGTCCTTGTTAAGGCTAAAGAAATACAGCACGTCATATTTATCAGCATTATTTTGTCTGTGAGTTCCTAATGTTGTATAAACTGTCATCTTGTAAATGTTCATGTAAATATATTTTCTCTCCCTTATTCTTGTATCTAACGGGACTTTGGATATTATAAAGGCGCTTGTGTGTATGATTTTCAAAATAGTTAACAAGCCTTCTGTCAGAGTTACTCTCTAACCTTGTGTTCAGTATTTTACTGTACTTTGTTGCACTGCCTCTGAAATATAATCATTGTGGTGTTGGATCTGCACCTGGGACCCAAATGTGACCGTTTGAACGACGCTGTTAGTACTGTACTCTTGGTCTAAACGGCTTGTGACACTTTCAATAAAAAAACGATACGTTTAGAAACCGTTTTCTTTGTAACATGGACGTGTTGTTATCCTCGTGTAGGTGATCCAATGCTTTTGTCCATACAGTGAAAGATTTACATCAACAGAGCAGTTTACATGCCACTTCAAACAGATAAGAAAACATTGATATTTTTTAAAATATTTCTTTTTGCATTATGTCTACATATATTCCAGATTTTTCTTTACTTTTTTTTAAATTTATTTACTTATTTTAACATTGCCAACGAGCTCAAACTTGGTCATCTTTATTTAGAAAATTACAAATTGTATGGAATAATTTGATAAATTAAAGAAGGCAGGTGTCTGAAAAATAAATCTTGGACACCTTAATTGAGTCCAGAGTTAGGAAGCTCTGCTCCACCTGGAATAATTAAATAACAGGTATATGTAATAAATAATGAAATCTTAATTGTTGTCAGTTAGACAAGAACACAAATTTTTTTTGTTTTTTTGTTCAGTTAACATAAAAAAAATCTCATTTTTTATCTGGATTGATTGTGTAGATTCAAACTGCTTTAAGTTGTTGGGGAAACAACCTGACAAACGAATAATAAAAAAACTTCCTGTTTATCCTCAGAACAAATTCAAGAAATTTCCAAATGTAAATGGAGAACTAGACAAAACTAGACATTCACTCAGTTGTGGTCAATGTCAGTTTGATTTCTACAGCACTTTGGTCAGCCTTGTTGCTTTTTAAAGTACTTTACGGGTTGGTTTAAAACCACATGAAACTACACATTAATAAAACAAAATCAAACGAACATATTTGAATAAAACAAGATAATAATAATAATAATAAAGGGGAACACAACATAAAAAGCCTGATGGGACTTGAATTTGACTTTGAACTTCAATTAAAAGGCTGGATTTAAAAGACTGCATAAACTACAGTACAAATATCAAGTGGCAGGTTATTGCATTAGTCTAGGGTCTGCAGCTGAGACTGAATCGAGACTTCGGTTGCACTGAGAGCATCTGGCTACATGTTTTGGAGTTATATAGGTTGATCGGCTTGACTAAATAGATGAATGACATATTGTTTAAGACTTTAAAAGTAAGTCAGAAAGCAGTCATCTCAGATCTATGTGAAAAGTGCCATGTGCCACAAGGATACATGACCACAGCATGGAGATACTCTGAGAGAATATTCTGAGCCACTGTGAGATTTCTCCCAAGGCCACCAAGGGGAGACAGAACTCAAAGTTAATGTTTGTTCTGACACTGATCCAATGGATCCACCACAGAATCCACGGCAAGAAGCACTGAGTGGGATTGCAGGTGTCAGCCATTGCTTCACATCTTTCCTTGTCGTGGGTTCCAGAGTCGTTTTCCATCCCTGCCTTCTGTACATAAATGCAGTAGACGTCTTTAGGTGGAAGCTTCCACAGAGTAGAGTTACTCCGTGACACCAAAGAAGTTACATAAGACCGCTTTCCTAACGCACTTATGTTGAAAATTGATAGGCACACTAATGCACACATGCAGACTCTTTCAAACTCTGGACGCAGCATCACACCGTTGCAATCTAATGCTGCTAAAATTAGGATCATAGTTCTCTACAGTCTTCACAGGATTGTTGGCAACCTAACAGAGACTATATCTTGTGCAATAAATCCATTAGGCTCTCCTGTGAAACCTGATCCTGTTTAGCCAAGAGTTGCATGAAGACACAGATCTAAATTTTCTTTTACACGCAGGCATTGAAATCCAGCATTCACATCACACTCTGGGCTTTAGTATCACAAACACAAAGTTACTGCAGTACATCTACTTTACCAGGATGCCACAGGTAGATATTCTCTCTTGTGACAAACTAAAGTTAGCCACACATATTTAATTAATTTGACTGACGATAAAAGTTTGTGTAAGATGAGCCAGGTATGCAAACTTCAATGCAATGATACATTAACATTTAAATTCCCACCCCCTAAAAATCTGTAAGCTGTGTATCTGTCAGTCACCCCTTGAATTAAGTGTCCAGAACTATTAAACTGCATTTCTAGACATTTTAAAAGGGGATAGATGCTCTACTAACTAATTCAGTTACTATTAAGTTCTGACCCTCAGCACTCATGTGTAACCCCATACAGTAGTGGGTAGCTAAACAACAGATTGCCAGATGCAGATTTCATTATATTCCAACTCCTGGAAGAAACCAGTAACTCTGGTGGAAAAGGGGGATAAGCTGATGTATTATAAGTGGCATAACTATAAAAAATGCTTTGATTTATAATGAAGTTATCTGGCTAACTTTTGTATGAATAAAACGGAAAAAAAGAAAAATGAGCAGCTGTGAAAAATGTGATGGGCCTCACCTCCCTCCCCCAGCCTGAGTGGGTTGACCCTTGTGGGTGAGCTGCCGCTGGCCATCAGTCTGCAGCAGCAGCCCTCTCACATCCTCACCGCCCGGTAAGTCCCAGCTACAAATATTTTCTCTCCTCTCTCTGTTGATTTCAGCAGCTCCTCAATCACATTTTATTTATTAACGTCTGCAAGAAATCACGTGCAGCTGCTGCCTTGATTTAGCATTGGCGCAAGAAGAAATAGTCCCTTAATTTTATCTCAGGCAGGTTTGACCCATGGAGTGTAAATCACCGAGGTCACGTGTTTTACATAGCTATAATATTCTTGTCCACTCATATACCTGCTGTGTTTTTTTTTCTTTAACACGTGAGCTCAAACACAAAACACTGTTATAAAGAGCAGCGCGTGCCACAGAAACAACGTGTGGATTTAAAAACTGTACTTTGTTCCCAATAATAATAATAATAGTAAAACACATCAATACGTTTCAGTACATCTTTAGTCCTCTAAATTAATACAAATTAAAATAAATAGTGGACATGTCCTTTGAGTCGAGCACCCTCATGAATGTGTTTAGAAATATTAAGCTTACAATGTTGTCCAGCATGTCATCCTCGAGTAATGCAGTGAAAAATCCACTGTTCTTTAAATTCCAGGATTTTTATTTGTTGTATTTATTTATCCTTATCAGTTTATCCCTTCGGAGCCATAGGATACCAGCCTTAGCCTGCATTTAAACTTACAACTTCAAAATTAAATTAGGTTAGAGTAGATTAGAAGAAATGTGTGTCCACGTGTTGATCTTTTTTGCTTTATAAAATTCAGAGCTAATGCCTCCTTTGGCAATGAACATTTAGTTACTATCTTGTTGTTTACCACTTTTGCAGGTGTTTATTATTTAAGTGAGACTCTCAGGATGGTTAAAACAGCTGATAACTATGCTGATTTTAGGATTATTGCTTCAAAAAGTGATTTGCATCCAGCAGGTATTTTAAGAGGTGGAAACCTTAACACCACTTCAAAGCGATCCTTATCACCATACTGATCAGTCTGTGCCTTTAGTAAAGTAACAGCGTTTCTCTTTCATGTATAAAATTCTGTGTTTTTGGTTGCAGCAGAGGATGATGGAGAAAACCAGTCACATCAACATTGCAATGATAGAAGACATCGGTACTAACGGGATGGCCGTGTCAAAGGTCGGCACGGGCGTGGACGGGACGAAACAGCGGTGCGGTTCCACCGTGAGCTTCCACAACATCCAGTACAAAGTGCAGCAGCAGAGCGGCTTCCTCTGCAAAAGAAAGATCCTCTCCAAGGAAATACTGGTGGACCTCAAGTCAGTCTCTTTGTCTTTCTCCGCTCTGTCACCTTCTCCCTCGCTTTCCTCCGTTTTCTCATCACTCACACACTACGCGCACATGAATTTACAGATATTAAGCTGCAGAGCTATGATTTGCTCACTTGATAAGTGCAGCACAAAAACCTGTAAAACATTTAATACCTGTTTTTAAAAATTATTTCCCCTCTGCTTAAGCTAGCCGAACATGCACAGAATCCCATTAAACAGTAGAAATCTTGTGATTTTTACTTTGTTGAATTTCAGAAAAAATGCCAAATGAATCCTTTTGAATTTTATTGCACTGACTGTTTTAGATTTCTTTTAATTTTGGGGGGTGTCGTCTTGCTTTTTTTCTTTTGTTTTCCATGTCAGTCCAGTACAAAGTGGGACAATAGTGAATAGACCCTTGCAGTTCCTTTCTGATGGTATTAAATACAGCTGACGTTTCCCATGGAAGAATGAATCATTTCACACAAGTTTTTTTAGGGGGAACCTTTTTCCTGCCACAGTGTTAATTATATGATATTAAGCATGGTTTCTTGCATATAATCTCTCAAATGCACTAAAGAGCAGTCTGCCAGGGAAACGAATTAAACAGCGTCACGTGATCCACCGCCAGACCTTAATTCAGTCTTCAACTCTGTTTTAAATCACTGACTCACTCCGTGCTTTCTGAAGTCTCTGAAGTTCTTTAAATTGTTACATTTTTTTTTTTAAATGATATGATATCTGTATTTGCTGTAAAAACCATTCATGAATATTACTTTAAATGGGATTAGGAGGGATGATTCATTTAATAAAAGTAGTTCATTTCAGCATGTGTCTAAGGACCATATTAACTACTTTGATTCACATGCATGTGGCATAAAACTGATACAGTAAAAATCTAAGAAAAAACATTTATAATTGGAAACATAAGCAAATATGTGTCCCAGTATTTGAGTTTCTTTTTTCATTATTAAATCATTACACTCTTTTTGCCTGTGTCACTGTCTCGCAGTGGGATTATGAGACCTGGTCTGAATGCTATTCTTGGACCTACTGGAAGTGGAAAATCTTCGTGAGTACTACTTCAGTTTTCAAAAATACAGTTAGGTCTATAAATCATTGTATTACTATCTTATTACAGTATAAATCAATTAATCAATATGTGATTGAACAAACAGTAATACAAGCAGTACAAGTAAGTATCGCATTTGCTGTGAACAGCCATCTGACATGTTTGACAGAGGGTGGGTTGTGCTTTGGATCATGAGCATTTTCTCTCCTTCACCATTGTTTTCTCTTCTGTTCATACTGGTACGCGTTCATCTTGGTTTCATTTTTCCAAGGTTTTTTTTCCTGAACTGTGTGAGCTCTTGTAGATGTGTAACCAGAGGTTTGCACCTTGTAGTAAACGCTCTGTATTCATGAAGGCGTCTCTTGATCATAGTGCTCTTCACTTGGTTAGATGCGGTGACCCATAGAACTAATTCAGCACTTTAGTCGTAGTAATACTGGGCAGTGGATTCATTGTTTTTAGGAACCAACCAAGTGTTTCATTTGGCCGCTCTTAACCCTGTAAAGCTTGAACCATGATTTTTTTTAACCCTCTCAGGCTCAAATTAAGTTTTTGTTGCTAATGCACAAAAGAATACCTGCAGTGGTACTTCTGAGTAAAAAAAACCCTCCTAAAATATGTATGTGGGGTAATCAGGTTGTTAGCTTTTAACTGTTGCAAATCTGCAACGCCTGTCTTGAGAGAGTTAAACTGGACTGTTTATTAAACCTTCTGTCAGCTCATAATACTTTGAGCTGACTTCAGATATTACGTCTGCTTCATTTGTCAGTTGAAATTATGAGGGAAAGAGCCTCACCTAGCCACGAAACGTCTTGTTAATTATTTTTGAACCTTTAAAAAT